TGGTGGCCGATGATTATCATCTGTGAGGGACACCAATGGATGTGTTGATGGTGTGAACCATTGATGGCAACCATCGATACGATACAAGTCATAAAAGACAAGAATAATGATAGGAATAAACGATAAACACTTATTGATTGATATAATGGACACAATATTACAGAATATTCTGTAATGTTTGGACAAAAAGCGCTCATTTAATGAAATGATTAAATAAATGGCAAACAATTATGTATTAAATATAGAGATATTCATTCATTGTTAGCAAAAACAATAGTAATTAAAATGATTTGTTAAATATATTGTGCAAAATGTCTATAATTTATATTTTCAATACAATTACTGTTTGATTACAATTGACTTCAAATGTATAGGAATTGTGTTTTTATAAGAATTGAAAACTTTTTAGTATTGTTTTGAGTGGCAGTCAATGTGTGGCTCTGTTTTGTATGTGAGTTAACGTAAGGCTCGTAACATTTGAATGTCTTCTGGCGTTCGCCTCATTGGCTGTGAGAGAGTGTCTCAATGCGAGCGCTGTATAGGCTGTGAGCGAAGAGCGGCTTCTGTTGCTCTCCAATCGCAGTGAAGACTAGTGTTGAGTATTGGGTGAGAGAGTAGTGTTCAGTAGTGTTGACGCTATCGTATGTATGGCTCAATGTATGGCTCAATGTATGGCTCAATGTATGGCTCAATGTATGGCTCAATGTATGGCTCAATGCGTAACGAATATAAACACTCAACTCTTGGACACAAAAATGGCTGCAATTATGCGTTGATTAACACAAGTGTTTTGTTTGCAATCAATTGATTATTGTTTTGATCGTGTGTTTTGTGTCACGAATTGTGTTGTAGTGTCCGTGAGAGTGAATTGAGTAGCATTTGATCCGTTGCGGTGACAGTGAGTGACAACACGCCCACCACTTGTGTGCACTTTTTGCCGCCAATCGTGAGGCAATCGTAAGCCATGTTTTACTCGGTGTTTGTGTTGGGAAAGAAGGGTCCGTTGGCCAGAGTCTGGTTGGCCGCGCATTGGGACAAAAAGATCACTAAAGCACAGATCTTGGAGACTAATATCGTGGAGAGCGTCGACTCTATTCTTCAGCCAAAGGTAAGGCTCTTATCGGCCATTGTTTTGATGACACCTTTTGATGGTCTCTCTGTGTCTGTCTTTAGGTGAAGCTGTCATTGAGGACATCGTCTCATCTATTGCTGGGAATTGTCCGCATTTACGCCCGAAAGACGCTGTATTTGCTTCAGGACTGTCAGGACGCGGCCTTTAAGATCAAGTCTGCGTTCAGACCGGGAGCTGTGGATCTGCCCGATGGCAAGACTGAGGCGGCCATCAGTGCCATCACTTTGCCAGAGATGCTCGACTTCATCAATGACTTTGATCTCATCGCTGAGCCGCCAATGTATGCCTTTTTGTTGTTTTGTTATCATTTTATATATCATAACTGACACAATGTCTTCGTGGGAATCGTTAGGCAAATGGAACCGCCGGCGACCAGCGCTAACATCCGTAACATAACACTAGTGGAGGACATCTCCAGCATTCATGTGGACGACCCGCTGATGCAAGACGTGAGAGAGTGGTCTGACATGTCGTCCATTCACGCCAGTGATGGCGGAATCAACTTAAAGGAGACGCCAGTGATGGGCA